AGGTCAGTGGTGTCCAGCAGAAGCTTCTGCCGTGGTGAAAATGTTCTGTATCTGCTCTGTCCAGTATGGTAGCCAGTTATCACATATGGCTTTTGAGTGCTTGAGAGGTGCATGGTTCAACGGAGGAAGTGAACTTCTAGTTTCGTTTTATTTTAATTAACTTATATTTATATTTAAATAGCCACGTATGACTTGTAGCCACTACATTGAACAGCGCAGCTCCAGATACTTTTTGAATGTTGCTGATGACAGGCTAATAATGGGAAAAGCAAACCAGGACACTACATTAATAGAACATGCTGTTCTTTCTCCATTCCCAGAGTTTCCCTGGATTGCATATTTAAAAAAGGGCTGTCAAAGCTGTTGCCGAATGGAAGCAATACGGTTCAATTAAAAAGTGTCTCCTCCAGCTCAGGCACTATGCTAGGCTTTGGGCGTTCAGTGAACGAGCCATGATTCTTATCTTCGAGGAGCTCATAGCCTAAGTGACTTTGAAGAATATGTTATACATTTTTTTCCAGCGTCTCTTCATAGATGATTAAACAAAGTATTTATATCTCTGCTCTCTAATACTTGCAGTGTTTTGCTTTTAATTTTTAATATTTTTAAAAAAATTTTTGAATAGGTAATATATTCCCATGGTTTAAAGCTCAAGAAGTACAGAGTGCTTTTTAATTCCCTTATATGGAAGTGACCACTGCCTCATTGTATAGTGTCGCCTTTACAGACATTTCGTGCACACATATTTAATCCTCTCCTTTTTAAAAACAGACATGCACTGTTGAGTAACCTTGGATTTTACACTTAAAAAATATACCTTGGATACTTTTGCATGCCAGTACTTAGAACTTCTTATTTTTTATGGACGCATAATCCATTATATAAACGGGTGATGATTTATTTAACGAGTCCCCTGTCGATGAACATTTAACTAATTTCCGTTCTTTTGCTGTTACTGGAAGTGTTGACATGAGTAACTTCAGCAATTATACTTCGCGTGAGCTAGAGTGGGTGGCATTCGCATCCCAGGCCACGTTCCACAGTTTCAGGAGGTATTCAGCATAAAAGAGAGTCTGTGGCTAAATAACATTTGGTATTCATTGGAGGTTCACAGTGCATATTGTCAAATTAACGGCAGTCCCAATCTATGTCAATTTAATCTGTTTCCCAATATTACATTTTCTCAAGTAACAGAATGTACTCTTTTTGTAAGTCAGCTTCCCTGGGAAGCGGAAATGTACATTGGGGAGGCCTCCTGGGGCTTGTTCTCAGGAACAGCACGGGTGGAGATGGGGGTGGGGAAGTAGGGTGGGTGTAGGGAGAAGGTGAACTGTGGTGCGGTTGCAGCAGAGGCCTCAGCCAGTCAGTCCCCTGGGGAGTGCTCTGAAGCTGTGATGGCCCTTCAGAGGTGTTCTAACTCCAGGGAAGGGGGCCAGGCCCCCAGGGAGGGGTCATGACCTTGTGCTAGGCAGCTCTCTTTCTGAAGGATTAGACCGGCATGGGGTATGAAAGGCAGGAGACCAGCTAGCTTTAAAGCACAGTGTTCGGTGCTCTTCTTCATCTTCCTTTTCGAAGATTAGAGGGTAAACAGGTGCAACCAAAAAGCCAGAGCAGCTCCTCCACTTGAGAATCGGATGGGTCTAGGTGTCCATCCTGTGCCTTTTGGTGTATTTGCTGATTTCATTCTCACACCTCCTGCAGAATTCACCAGTCGTGGTGTCCATCAAGGAAGCTTGTTTCCTGGTTGGAAAGGGAAAAGGGCCCAAGGAATGGGTGTCTCCTTTCTGTGTTCGATAGAGTTGAGGAAAGTTCATAGAGAGGATGGAAAAAATGACCAAGAAAAATCTCAAAGAAAAAAATCCTTATGAGATAATGGAGGAGACGATGAAGTGGAAAGTAAAACCAGGACTAAGGAGTTGGCTGTTGTATGAACATGATGCAGAGGAGAAAGCAAAAAGCACAAAGCAAAAAAAAAAAAAATGCTTAGATTGATGGTCGTGTCTAAGAACACCTTTTAAATTGAACATATATTTTTCTCAAAAATAATCTTTTTTGTCTACGGCCACGCTACCCTGAACAAGCCTGATCCTGTCTGATCTTGAAAGCTAAGCAGGGTCGGGCCTGGTTAATACTTGGATGGGAGACCATCTAGGAAGACCAGGTGCTGTAGGCATAAAAAATAAAAAAATGAGGGATTGTAAGCTGACAAGGTCCTTGCAATCTGTGAGGTCAACCAAAGGTGCCTTACCTAAAAAATATTTAAAAAAACGAACAAAAACACCAATCTTTTCCTTCAGCACAAAGCTTCATAAAGATTCTTGTTATTATTATTGTATAATAATAGATCTGATGAGGCATTGTTAAAAGGGTAATTTGAAAGGGAATAAACTAGAAAAGGTATTGTTAGAGATTGGGAGAAAATCATGGAATTGGCCTTACATATTTATTTATCTAAAATAAATTGATCTTTTCTGAACAATCACAGAGTCTTCCTTTTTTTCTACAACAGACCTGTTTATGTTAATTCTGAAATGTTTCTGGAACCACTCCCCTTATCCATTTGCAGAAGTGTCAGATCCCATAGCATTCTGGTCACTTCCAATTATTTGATTGTCTAGTCCATTTAAAATTCTAGTATCATCTCCATCTGTTCCTCCAGTTCAAGTTAGACCTGTGGGACCAGTAGAGGGGAGAGGGTGTGGTCCTCTTTTTCATGCCTTCCAGGCTCCTTCTGGCGCTCACTGCTGAAAGTTGGGAACTGAGAGGGTGACATAGAGCAAAAGGACCAGTTATCTCCTGACTTAACCAGGACGTCCTCTGTTGGTTGTTGCCTCTTTTCCTGGCCAATAGTAACTACCCATTGATACCTTCTGTGTGGGAGGGTTCCACAGCTGAGCTCTCCTATGAGACCTATGTGAGCTCTTCCACACACCTATCGTGGTCTCCCTTCTGTGGGTGATTAGACTTAACCTCTTCCTGACTGCTTGGCTCCCTCCCCTGGAGGCGCAGCTCAACAGGTCTGATGATCTGCGTCCCGTTGCAAACAAGCCTGCCTTGATCCATAGCTTTGCTGAATCAAACACTGGAAACAAAATCTGATACTTTTCTCCATTATTTTTTTCTTTCGTCATGTAGGTTTAAGAGCAAATCAACAATTCCATGATGATAGGATGTCCAGCCAAGGGATAAGATGCCAGCCTGTATTAGTCAGCTCAGGCTGCCGTAGCAAAATACCCCACCTGAACTTCTGGAGGCTAGAAAGTTCAAGAGCAAGGTGCCAGCTGATTCAGTGCCTGGTGCAGAATCTCTTCTTTGCTTAGAGATGGCTGCCTTCTTACTGTGTCCTCACATAGTGGAAAGAGACAGAGACAGCAAGCTTTTTGTGGTCTGTCCTTATAAAGGCACTAATCTCATCATGAGGGACCCACCCTTATGACCTCATTTAACCCTAATTACCTCCCCCAAACTCCATCTCCAAATACCATCACATTGTGGAGTAGGGCTTCAATGTGAGGATTTTGGGGAGACGTAATTCAGTCCATAACACAATCTCTCTTGTGCATAGTCCCACAGCAGTTTCCATCATGCCCCTGGCTGGTGATTTCAATCGTTGCCTTTCCCTTCTCTTCCTGGTATTTTAGTCTCCCGTATATGAGTGGGGAATGGGGTCTTGGGGTGCATTTGGTGGTTTTGGAGGTCATAGACACACTACAGGTTTGCCTACCTTTGAGTTAGCCCTGGAGCAGGTGTCTGAACATAGCTTTGAAACTCTTTTTAGAATGAGGGCCAACTTAATATTTCTTTATTTTCAACATTGGGTTTTAGTCACCAGTTCTAGGGTGACAATAAAGCTACATTCAAATCCTATTAAAGTGCCATTCCTCTCCTACCCTCTTGAATTCTGAACCTCTGCAAGCAGCATTCCCTTTGCTAGCATAATGCTACTTATTCTTCAAGGCCAGCTGGAATGTCACCTGCTCACTGAAGTCTTTCCAAGTTCTTTATCTTCCTTATCTCTGTAGAATTAATTGTGTCACTCTGTTCTTACATGGGGCTTTCTTTATTCTTCTGTTAAAACACTAAGAGCATTAGTTAGTTGTTTTCAGTTTTTTCCCCACTGGTTGATGAATTTAAGGACGAAAACCAGTTGTTAGACCTAGTATAGGTCTTTATACACAGTTTTGAGTAAGTATTATAAATAAATAATTCAGGAAAGTGCCAGTTTGTAGGGATATATATTGATGGTCTAAACTTTTGGGCTTAAAATTATATTAAACTTTTACTAATCAAGAATAGTAAAAAATAAGATTATATATATAATTTTATTATTAATAATACAAATATTCTTTATATCATGGATCATTTCTGAACTTTGTTTAAGATGCTTCTTAATTTATTTTATAAAATGGGAATTATACTGCTTAACTTTTTTAAATGGCATAAATAAGTTGGACTGCCTTTTTTAATAGGAAATATACTACTTTAAGGTTTAAAGGTATAATCTGTCGGCATATTTAAATCCCTTCGAAATTACATATACCTTGAAAATATGATGTTATAATGTATTTTACTACCGAGTGTCTGAATGGACACTTTTTTGCCTCATTCGTAGATGTTTGCGACTTATTTTTAGCCTCTTCCTTAGAGTTGGTGGATAACTCGACATTCAGTCCACAAATACATTTGATATCACATTTGCTTTTTGCTGTTTTGTAGGAAAATGAAAAACATTTTATTAGAGAACTGCATGAAACATTATAGTTTATTTTAAAGGAAGTAGCTATAGTCAACATGGATTTGCGTTAAATTATTGGGAGGCCTGAAGATTTTAGGAACGATTAATCCAAAAAAATCCTAGTTGACTTCTGAAGCTTTCTTCATATGAGTCTTCCTGTATTTCCTAGCATGATCAGGTGTGGAGGTAACCGTAAATCTGAGGAAGGGAGGATCATTCAATACATAATTTTAATTTTTTTTATTTCTCCCTTTGACACCTACAGACTCCATTTCTGCATATGGCCCTCTGGCTCTTCGAAGCAATGTACCATCATGTGCCATGCTGGTGATGTCACAAGACGCGAAGTCAATGTTAGCACATAGCCCAACGACAAGAAGTCATGTAAGTAAGATATTAAGAATTAAATCAGGCAGTATAGATCCTTTTGTGTAGTAATGTAATTAATAATAATGAAGATGTGGCAAACCAGGTGAAGTTATTATATGTATACTCTGAATTTTTTAAATGAGTATCTTGGTTAAGGCATTTTCTAAGGTCAGAGAACACTGCACATATCAGAGGTAGGCAATTTTTTTTTTCTGAAGAGTCAGTAAATATTTTAGGCTTTGTGAGCCAAATGATCTCTATCACAAGTACTCCACTCTGCCTTATTACTGGAAAGCAGCCATGGGTAGATGTGGCTCTGTTTGAACAAACTTTATTTACAAAAACAGGGGGGCGGGTAAGGTTTGGCCTATGGGTCATAGTTTGCCAACCTTTGGCATACAAGATGAAGAAATTCTGCATCTTACTTTCTGTTGTGATTTAGGTTCATTTTAAAGAAACTGGGGTACTTAAAATTAAATAACAAATGTAGTCCAACTATTTAATTTCTAAATGATTGTACCATGTCAGGAAGTTAGAGAATAATATGAGATTTTTTGAGTGACTCATTGAACACACATTTTATTTTTACTTTCGGTTATAATTTATATTTAACTCCTTCAGAAAAAAATCCTGTAGCATGTGTATAGATCAGGATAAACCATTAAATAAAGGGATTTATGAAAACTGAAACTCTTTACAAGAATCTTAAGAGGAAAAAGGTAATTCCTGTCTTGTGCAATCATTTCTGGCATCAGAAAATAAGAAAGGGATATAAATTCAAAGAAAAAAAGTATGAAGAACACGTTTTTATTTCCTATAATTAACTACAAAGTAAAACTTTAACTTTAAATGTTTCCTTGAAACTGCTCTGTTTCCTAGAATTTTTATTAAGAATTCCCCAAACTCAAGAAACTCATTGACAATCTTAGGGATAGACACATATTAGGGTTGCTATTTATCAAGGCTTCAAAGAAGCAAGAAGTCATTTTAGATATTGAGGGATAGACCCTGGGACATTTTTGTAATAAGAACACAGCTCTTAATTGCCTTGTCACTATGAGATATTTATGAAAGTGGATAAACATGTTATTCTTAAAAATTCCATTATGACCAATTCTGGGGCAAAAACCAGGAATTTTCTTTAAGTGAAATCATACTTGAAATAGGCAAGAAATTAAACAAGAATCTCCCCTCAGTTGTTTTGTAATCATAAGAAAATTACCGTGTGCTTTCCGTTTTTCTGAATTTGCCCCGCTTCCTAAATTTTCAGTTCTGGCTTTCCTTGGGGTACTTCAAAACAGAAGCATTTTGATGTGGTTGTCTTGTGGAGGTCAGTGATACCTGTTGCTCTCTGATGCTAGGGAGAGGTATGGTTGAGATGCACACCGGCGAGGTGGAATTAAAGACCTCAGTTATCTCTTCCAGTTTGCATAGTAAAAACAGGCAAATTAAGGATAAGGTGTTCCTTAGGGTGCACCAAGGTTACTGTGACAAGGACCCAGAAAGGCATTGTTTCTATAGGACGTTCCCTTGAAGATAGTTTTAATTTGGGATAATCAGGTGGGTAGCATATTAGGCTTTCTGCTAAAGAAATTTTGGCCGTGACGACTTTTGTGCCAGCCTAAACTCTTGTAGGTACAATCATGATCTTTGTTTTCTATTTTCTCTTCTGAGAATAAAGTATTTATAAAGCTGAATTTAGATGTGGCTAGATTAATAGAGATATCATCTGCTCATGCTCTCCAAACCCCCCCACTTTTATTTTGGCTGGGGCTGCAACCTAACAGGTTGGCGTGGCCTTGAGGCACCGTCTTTAACTCAGTTTGTCCCAAGCTTTTAATTTTATTTATTATCTTTCTGATTATCAAAGTCACATATGCTCATTATAGTAAAAATGAAAACTATAGAAAAATTGGGAAAAACATCGCCAGTACTACAGTAACGAAGAAGCAATTTATTCCATGATTCTTCCCAGGATTATTTTTTTCTACATGGTTGATATAAAAATGATTGAAAGTTTGCCTTGTACATTTTTTTAACAGCAACTGTGACATTTCCTTGTGACATTACATAAGTAAATATTTTAATGTATATATATATATAATATTCCCATTGAAAATATATTGCAATCCATTATGATTTTATTAAAAATAATATTTTGGCAAATATATTTTTGAATAAAGCTCCATCTAGGTTTCTGACAATTTTGTTAGGAAAATTTTTTCCAGGAGAGTTATTAAGATGTCTGAAGTTATAAACATTTTAACAATGCTCAATCCATATTCCAGGAAATATGTGCTAATTGACTGCTACATAATCTCTTTGTGAGTCTTGGTGACCTTGCATCCTCACCAATGCTGACATTTAACAATCTTAAAACAATCTTCCTGGTTCCATGAGAAATAGGGCAGCAGTTTGGGTCAAATGTAATTCTCCTCTTAGAAATTATATAGAATGGGATGTCAGGGAGACCCACAAAATACATCGATAGCAAAACCCAGAGACAGTGAAAAGCCATAAAACCCATTACATGTGTGGATGGAGGCAAATTAACTGAGGCCAGCAGAATTTATGCAGGAGGTCCTACTGGAGTGACAGAGAGGAATGGGAATGCAGAGGTGACCCAGTGATGGCAGATATCAACAATCACCATCAGATAAGTATTCCAAGAGCACTGAGTGGGAGCTAGGCTCAAACAGGAAGTCATTGCTGTGAGACATAGAGAAAGATTCTTTGTCCCTATTGTTGGCAGACCTCAGGAAGCACATCTTTCAAAACAGAGGGAAACGCATTGGAAGGAGGGGTTGTGTCCCTCGGTGGTGAAGCTGGAGGAGCTCAGGATGGGCGCATAAGCCAATCTCTTAGAAGCACCCAAAGACTTTACAAGGTGCATCCTGACGGGAGGCGTCGTGCGCCTGCTCCCAACTGTGGGCTTCCCTGGGCTTTCCTCCTGACATGGAAATGATGACCGGTGAACAGGCTGTATGACTAATCACTGACCAGCGTGATGAGGGATTAGTAACATATTTTACCCCTTTCTCTGCCTGGGAGAGACTATTTAAGGTGCAGTTTGCATGGCTCTGCACACCTAGAAATGGCCAGCCCCGCAGCCCTCCCTTCTATTAGCTTTCTCTTCTTTTCTGCTTTTTACCCATTTTTTACTCCATCCTGCTTTCCTGGAATCATGCTCCTTAGTGAAATACCTTTTCTGTGCCTGATGATGATGCCATATCTTCATTGTTTGTGTGGTTTGCATTGGGATTTCTCTGATTCACGAGTTATTAAAAAATGTCATGCTTAATTTTCAAGTGATGAAGAATTCCCCAGTAATCTTTTCGTGTTACAGATTACACAGCCAGAAACTGCCAGAGAATAAATATGGAATAATTTCAGTTTTAATTTTATAATGACTCGTTTACGGCCCAACATAGGTCAACTTTGGCAAATATTCCAGTAGTACTTGAAAAAAAAGAGTGACTTTTGCCATTGTTGGGGGAAAATGCAGCATACATGTCAGATAGCTCAAGTTATTAATTGTTTTTTATTTCAGACCTATTCTATCCTTGCTGAATTTTTCTTTTACTTTTGTTCTGATAGCTTTTAAGAGAGAGATTTTGAAATCTCCCACAGTGATGGTGAATTTGCCTATTTCTCCTTTCTCTATTTCTATTCATTCGGCTTTATAAAATTTAAAGCCGTGGTTTTAGGAAGCTATATTTTGGATATGATACCCCCTGGTGGGGTGACCGTATCTTTCTAATATGGTTACTTGCCTTCGAGTCTGCTTTTTCCAACATTAGTATAGCTATCCCAACTTATTTCATTTAGTGATTGTGTAATATATACTTTTCCTTTCCATTTACTTTCAGCCTGTGTTTGTCCTAATGTTATTCTCCTGTAAACAGCATGTAGCTGTGTTTTATGTTTTCATTTTTAATTCAACCTGAGAATCTTAGTCTTTTATAGAGAATACTTAGTCCATTTTTATTTAACATAATTATAGATATTGTTTTGCTTATACCAACCATTCTACTATTGTTTTCTGTTTGACATATCTCTTTATGTAGCTTTCGCATCCTTTCTTGGTTATTGGGACTAATCAACTTTTTATTATCCCTTTCTCCTCTACTAATTTATTAATATTATTTTGTTTCCATCACCTTCAATTTTAAAAGTATCTTTAGTAAGTTGTTACTCTAGATATGATAACATGCATCATTGATATATTACATTCTAATGATTTTTTTTTTAAGGAGAGATCATTTCAGTGTGATTTAAACTTCCAGAGGAAAACAAACTTCAAATTGCTTTCACGAAGTAAGAATATCATTGATACCCAAGCTTGGTCAAAATTTCACAAGAAGAAAACTATTCCCAATTTAATTTATGAATTACAATGCAAAATTCTTCAGAAAATTATTAGCAGAAAGAATCTGGCAATTCTTTAAAGTAGTAATATATCACGATGAGGGAGAGTTCATTCCAAGAATGAAAGATGATGAACTCTATTAAAATAATTCATCATATTAATTGATCTAAGGGAAAAAAAGGCATATGTTAACCTTTGCAGATGTTGAATATTCATTTAATGAAATTCCACAGCCATTCTGGATGTTTTAATAAACAGATTAATAAAGTAAGAGTTAAACTTTTTATAATCATGACTAACTGATAGACTATGCGCACGCGCGCGCGCACGCACACACACACACACACACACACACACACACACACACACACACACTCAACCCGGAAACAGCATTACAAACACTATCGAAATGCCAGAGGCACTTCTGCTCTCTCAGCTATAAGTACAGACAAAATAACAGCACACACTTCTCACCTCTACTAGTGAATCTCTACCAGAGTTATTAGTAAACAAAGCTAGAGAAGAGAAAGAAATTTGAGGTATAAAATTTAGAAAGGTGGGAGCTATTATTTGCTGATGACTTAATACTTAGAAAATCCCATGGAATCTGAAAAATTTCTATTATTCAATTTTAGCATATAAAAGA